TTGGAAGGGACATCCAACCCAAGGAACATCCAACCCAATCTCAACCATTGATTCAGTTTCATAGAATCCTAGAGTTGGAAGGGACATCCAACCCAATCTCCTGCCATGTAAGAAGACACAATCAAAGCACTCCCCACAGATGGCCATCCAGGCTCTATTTAAAAACCATACATTTTGCCATACAGGAATACACAATCAAAGCACTCCCTGTGACAGATGGCCATCCAGCCTCTATTTAAAAACCTCCAAAGAAGGAAACTCCACCACACTCCAAGAGAGTGTCTTCCACCGTCAAACAGCTCTTACTGTCAGGAAGTTCCTCCTAATGTTTAGGTGCAATCTCTTGTATCCTAAGCCTCCAACTCCAGCTCCTTTATTCTTCTGCTGTCTGGACATGAGGCCATCATGAATCACAAATATAATATACTCATCCCTGGTCTGGCTCCTTCATGGACGGCAAGCAGGAAGGGATAAAATGGCATGCGCGCGCAGGAGTGCGCACCCATTTTAACCAATGGGCTTTGAATATTTGCGGTTTTTCTGATTCGCGGTGAGTTCAGAACAGATCCCCCAATGAATTGGGAAGGACTGTATGTATATTGGTGTCAGATTGTAGCTGTCTGTCTGCAATAAACAATGCAATGAACAAAGCCTGAACTGGAAAAGAGGAGTTGAACTAAAGTTCTGGAATCCATCAAACCCTATGACAAACATCTTAGTGAGATGGGTATGTTTAGCCTGGAGAAGAGAAGGTTAAGGGATGACATGGTAACTATGTTTAAATATTTGAAGGGAAGACACCTTAAAGATGGAGCAAGCTTGTTTTCTGCTGCTTTAGAGACCAGGATCCGGAACAATGGATGCAACAGGAGTTGAAGGTTTAGCATAGTGACATCCTGGTGTGCATCTATTTCGGGATAGGATAGGAAGAATATATTGAGAGTTCAGTAGAAAACGAGTGTGGCTGTCCAGAGGAGGGTGACCAAAAGGGTGGAAATGGAAACCACCAAGTCCTATGAGGAGCAGCTTAGGAAGCTGAGTATGTTTAGCCTGGAGAAGAGAAGGTTAAGAGCTGATATGATAGCCATTTTTAAATATATGAAAAGATGTCACACTGAAAATGGAGCAAGCTTGTTTTCCACTTCTCCAGAGACTAGGACACAGAGCAGTAGATTCAAACTAAAGGAAAAGGTATTCCACCTAAATGCTAAGAACTTTTTGATGGTAAAAGCTGTTAAACCATGGAATATACTGCTTGGGAGAGTGGTGAGGCCTCCTTCTTTGGAAATCTTTAAATCTCCAGGTTGCCATCTCTCAGGAGTACTCAGAAATGTCTTCTAGCATGGTACAAAAGGGGTGGACTGGCTGGCCTTTGGAGTCCCTTCTAGGATTCTATGTCCTGTTTAAAATTCTCAATATTTTGCTGAACACAAAAAAGAAGACATTGGTAAGACTGAGGCTTACCTTGACCTAAGTTCTGGTCCTCCCTTATACACATTTAGGTTATCAGTGGCTTTCTTAAGGTTGACCTGTAAGCCTGCCTTTGCACTTTCTTCCTTGACTTCCTCCAACAGTCGTTCCAAGTCTTTTAATATCTACCTGCAGTTTTCAGTGTCCCATTTGAACAAAGAAAGGACTCTTTTCAGAATATTAATATCTTTGTACATTTTCCAGCAGTTCCGTTTCATTCCCCTTCCTATCACTAAAACTTTCCCTTCATTCTGCACCTGTGGAGCAGACTCAGTCCTCACTGGACCATTGCAATGATGCACTTTGGTGTTATTTTGCCTGAATTTGTCGTCTTGTTGTTTCTGGAAACCTTTCAGTTGTTCTCGAACCTGCCAAGATCTCCTTGTGTATCCTTGTGTGTTGTGTGTTGTTGTTTCAAAGCCTGAAAAAGTTTATTCTTGTAGACTATAATTACTCAAAATCACCATCCAGCATTCAGGAGGGTTGTAGAAATTGTACAGTCCAAATAAACAATGGTACAAGCATTGACCTGTTGCCATTTTGGCTGCATAAGTGCGGACACTCTTCCTTGATGTATGTATGGGGGAAGGCAAGGCTGAAGTTTGTCAGCCCAATGACAAAAGGATGAGAGCCGTCCTCTAGGGAAAAGAGATGAACAAACTCCTTTGGTAACCCTTTGCACTGGAATGCAAAATATTATAAAGAGGAAAACATCAGTCTGCCCTGTACAGAATTCCCATTTCCTTGAGTGTTTTCTGTACAAGTTCATTCTAAAGTGGCCTTTCCGCCTCCTTAATGAATACACTTTTGAGGTTTTGAAGAGCACTTTTCCTTCTTTAACACCCAAGTTCTGCAGTGTTTTCTCCCTTTTTGGAAGATCCATCCACAATCCCATCTCTGTTTGGCACAAGGGTATCTCGCATCTCCGTGTGCCGGAGAATCCTGCTCTCTTTTGTTGCTAGTCACGCTAGCACAAACAGACGAAAATGTGTTGTCATGGGGATCTCTGGAAGGTCATGAGAAATTCCCTGGTACTGTTTGTTACCTCTCCTGGGAGATTTCTGGTAAACTTTCTGCATGTATGTGAGGTCAGAGAGAGAGAGAGAGAGAAAAGTATGAGTTTGTGTATAACAAGGCTTGCAGAAGGATCTGCCTCTGTCTGGATAAGGTGGTGTCTATGTGTTTCTGTACCATCTGTGTGGATCATAAAAGCTGTGATCTCTGCTAGAGATCTGCTAGTGCAAAGTGGATTTATATATTTAATTACAAAATGCATTGTTGTTATTGTTGTTGTGTTCCTTCAACTCATTTCTGACTTGCAGTGACCATAAGGCGAACCTATCCTGGGTTTTTTTTTTTTTTTTAGATTTGTTCAGAGGAGGTTTGCCATTGCCTTTCCCTGAGGCTGAGAGCATGTGACTTGCCCAAGGTCATTCAGTAGGTTTCCATGGCTGGGCTGGGAACTGAACCCTGGTCTCCCAGAGTTGTCATCCAACAC